GAGCGTTCTGCAAGGATAAGGCCGATTTAGATGAACTTTCTGAAAGGACTGAAAGTCCAGCATGGTCATGAAGCCTCATTAGAACAACTCCAACCCATAGTAACCAAGCTCATTCGTTTTAATGACCGTGTCCTCACGATCAGAAGCCTGTTGAGATATTTTCGCCTAGTTCCAGTAGACAAACTATCTCAAATTTTTTTACCAAAAGCTTAGCCTCGAGTGTGCTCTTTGCTGCGGACCAGAGGATCCGTGTTTCTGTGATTTAAATGTGTCCCCCTCTCAAAAATTCACTGTTTGGCAAGGAGACCCCCCATGCAAAACCTGCCCCCCCCTAAACCCATCTTTCTAAATTTTGCCAGCTTCGTGCCACTTTTCTAGAGTTTTTCCCCCGTTTTTAGCCCCAAAATACTGAAAAAGTAGCATCGAGCAGTTACGAGGGAAGAGCTATCTAGGCACTTGAAACAGATGAAACTGAGTGAAGCCAACAACCGTAAACATTCCTCCCAGAAGAAAATGTGACCCCTTCTCTCCATCCAGCGACCTTCAGCCCGACCCTACTGACACAGTACCGCTGATTGCGACGATATCAGCTATACTTGTAAGGGCGGCTGCTGCATCATCGCAACGTGGATCTCCTGCTACACATCCAGCACTCATTCCTACAAAGAAAAAACTATACATACTGTTTGTCGATGCTCCGCCTCCAGATCCTGAAGTTTTTGCGTAAGAAGACCATTTCGAGTGGTCAGTCGATCGATTTCCATCCTTTGCATGATGCTGCTGAAATGTCAGGAGAAAAAGTGAATAGATCAGTCAGAATCAACGTGTTCGAAAGTAGTGAATCGAACGAGGCTCCCATTTCATAGAGCTTTCAGTTTTCATAGATCAAATGAAGCTTTACAAACTAAGAACGGCAATTCATATGCAAAAATACCTACTTCGTGCTAGCGCCATAGTCCAGCTGCCGCTTGAGCTCGTCGTGCTTCGTTTTCCACTCACCACAGAGGGCATCTGCTCTCTCTTTCTCGGCAATGGCGTTTTCTTTCTTAAATCAGTAGGCATTCCAGTTTAAAGTTTGTTCCACTCTTTGAGCACATAGGGTGTGCAGTCTTGTTCGCTGCGGATGATGGGGCGTGTCAGCGAGGCTAGGTTTGGCGCGCACCATCATGCGCAGCTAACAAGCACTGGTCCTTCCTTACCAGTTGCTGGAACGGGTAAGCGACAACAATGGGCGGAGAATGACTCCGATCGATATGATACAGTCTTGTCGCCTGACAAAAAACAAACAAAAACGGGCTGCGGATGATACGGCGTGTCAGCTACCGCACCAAGCTCATGGCACCTGGCGCGCCCTATCATCCACAGCAAACAAGACTGAACTAAGGACGATCGATGAACTTGGTCCCACCTCTCTCTGCATTCATCCCTCCCCATCACTCTTACGTCCCCATCATTCTCAAAATCGTCGTCTCATACCTTTAATAGTTCACACCAGCACCACCACCGCGTTCTAAACCTCGGAACTGGAGTGGGTGTAGTTCATTCAAACTCGGTGGCGGAGTTGCATCTTCGATGGAAATATTGCCGTTTCAGGGCAATTAAAGTCATGCCTCTGTCCATTTCAAGATGGGATGACATCAAGATAGAATGAAGTGAATATATCCCACGAAAAACGCTTCCTAAGCCTCGCTCTAATGAAGTATGTACGCAGTAAGGAGTGTGCCTGGATACTCGCTGGAAGGTCCTGCTAACAGTGCAAGGGGGAAGGGGGGCGGACTGTCAAAAAAAGCCAGCAGCTATTTCCCATGGGGTTACCGTCCAGTGACGCTAGTACCTCTTGAAGAGAATACTCCAAGAAGGGCACATTCTGTTTTAAAGGGAACTCAGACGACTCGGCCAGAAAATGACCCCTTCCCCATCGTAATCACCTATCTTTCTATGTTTTCATAACTTCCTATAAAAAAAACGAAAAAAACTTCTCTCACATCATACACGGAAAAATTTTCGACTGAGGCCGGATACGATCATTTTCCTTTGTGAGCGGTGAGCAATCAAGCCCCTCCGAAGGGTTACCCCTCCAAACAGAGAAGTCGACT